GCCAGAGCAACCTTGCCAGAGCGGATCCTTAAAATCCGGTGAGTTTTTCAAAAGAGAACATCCCTCCCATTCCGCTCAACCACAACGTCCTGACTGTGAATTGGGCTCAGGCCGCCCGTTTTTCTTTCGAGCGCAGACGACGACTGTGTTGTCAAGATTCTCGATCCGTCGTCTTGGTTGGGGGGGGGTCAGGGATGCCTGGGTACTTGGACTTGCACTAGAAGCTAGTAACCCTATCCACGTGCAGCACTAGACAAAGAATGAACCAGTTATTCAGATAGGTACACTATTTGCTCATTTACATATAAATTGTGGAGCAGAAAAAAGGTATGACGGATGGCTTACAGGACTCCACGTCATTTTTCCTATCCTGGTTGTATTGAGGCAAGTAAGTCTCCCATTTCTATTCAGCGAAATGATTTTCTTTTGGCTTGATGAAAAATATTTAGATTGTGTATGCAAAGGGTTACAAGACGGTAGGTTGACCGAGTTGGTGCGAGAGAAGTTGAGCTTATCATCCGTATTGACGCATCGGCTTATTTAAAAATTAGCTTGGTAGGGATTGCGACGCGATGGTTCATATCCTGTTATATCTCTCCCGTGGAAATGTAGACCTGAATGGGGCTCTATGGCTTTTGTCGTTAAGACATTGTGCATATACGTGCGCTGATGAGCATCCACGTAGCTCTCCACTATTTGTACCAAACAGTGCCTGCTCATAAAATGCCATTTGCATCAGTTGTGCTTTCCTGTACGCTCTAAGACATGGCTCAGCGAGCGTTCGAGAAAGGCGCGGACCTCGCGACTAACGTCCTCAAAGCTGGACTTGGCTAGGTGTTTTACTTCGGGTTAAACAGTTGCAGCGATTCTCCGAGTCCTGACTCACCCCCCCGCCCTCTCCTGGTAGCGAATGTCCGAGCCGGTTCCCAAGGCTGATCTTTAAGTACGCTCAATTTCCAATCTGTATAGGGTGAATACTACATACTCTTTTCGCACGGTGGGTAGTGTTGCAACTCCCCGACGAAGGTGATGAATTGCTCAGCATCAGCGATCTGGGCCTAGTCAGAGAGCAAAGCTTGTTCATCTTCATAACTCCGACTCTCAGCTATTTCATCGCATCGTAATTACGATTTTGAGCGACTATAAGTTGCTAAATCCTCTGGGGTGGAGCCCTTCTTAGACAATGCGTGTGCGCGCTTCGATCACACCGAAAATGAAGCAAAGCTCTCAGCGAGCGCTTTCTAGCTCCACGCGCTATCACTTCTCAGGTGTACCTTCTGCGCTTAGAGCGTCGGCGTTGAAAAAAAACGTACCTCTATTAAAAGATGTAAGTATGCTGGCAAGAATCTCGGAGTGTTTCGTACTCAGTTTGCCTACTGAATTGGCAAAATTTGTCGTGTCACCAATCTTTGAGAGTTGTAAGCCAGTTTCGGTGAAGCGTATATCTGTCTAGAGCGTTCGCTAGTGCTTGACTTTTAAGAGAACAAAACTCGATGCGGGCGAAAAGATGAAAACTATCACTTTTTCTCCTGCTGCTTATGGCGTTACTTGCCTCCGTTAACCAGATCTGTTGGTAACGGACTATATGTCGTACTCACGATCAGCTTGTCCTCTGGTCACTAGAGAGAAGCACGCCACCGCGAGCTACCATGGTACTTATTTCAACGGAAATGAAGGCCGACTGTATATCGAGCCGTAATCATCAACGGCGCCAGAACAACATTAACAAAATAGAACTATCATGTACTTTGCAAATGAAGGTATCCCACCCAATTCACCAGAAACTAGGAATGACTCTGGTGTAATAGCCGCTCACTCAATGATCCATGTATAACTTGACGA